GACGGGGTTTCACCATGTTGACCAGGATGGTCTTGATCTCTTGACCTCGTGATCCACCCGCTCAGCCTCCCAAAGTGCTGGGATTACAGGCTTGAGCCACCGCGCCTGGCATTTTTTCCATTTTTAATGAAATAATTATTATGCCATTGAGTTGTATGATATCCTTATATATTTTGTATATTTCTTGGTATATACATGGTTTGTAAATATTTCTTTCATTTAATATGTTGCTTTTTCATTTTATTCATTTTTTTCTCTTTGCTGTACAGAAGCTTTCTTAGTTTGCTGTATTTTCTTGTCTATTTTTTAAATTTTGATGTCATATCTAAGAAATTATTGCCCAGTCCAATATCAATAAGATTTTCTCCTATTTTTTTTTACAGTGATTTTAGAGTTTTAGGTCTTAAATGTAAATCTTTAATCTATTTTAATTTGATATTTGAATATGTTTTAAGATAACTGTCCAATTTAACAATTCTTGTTTTCCCAAAATATATTTTAAACTTCCCTTCTTTGGTGTTTTCATAAAACTGTTACTTGACCCGGAATAGCACTTTCTTTTATAGAATTTGTCAAGCATTTTTATATTTTCCAATGTCCCTATTTAGACAGTAGCTTCACAGGAAATTTCCAGGTCATCTTCTATAATCTGTGACTAATTCTCCACGTGTCTGCAAGGGAAGGATGGCAATCTCTTTATCTCTATAAGCAAGACTCAGCAAAAATATTTAAAATATTGTAATTATTTCTTAGGACCTGTATTTAAATTATCCATCAATGTATCTAAACAGGGTTGATTTCATTGCAATATGATCTGTAAAGCTGTGTAGGGATCAGTGCTCAAAATGGCCTACCTCTGGAGTTAATATTCTGCAGTCACCATTTTGAAATTCTTAATATTTTTATTTTGGAGCTCTATATTGCAAATGAAATCCCACCAGGTAATGCAGGCTGGGAGTAGGTAGGGCCAGATCCGAGTGAGGGCCCTGCAGCATCTGGAGATGTGCAAGGTAGCAGCCATCTCTGACTCAAGTAGCCATCCCTGTTGTGCCATCCAGTGATATTTGTTAGTGTCTCTTAGTCACTCCCATCCACATATTGAGCACATCCTCTCATGGCATCTGCAATCCTTGGTGGTTTCTAGCTGCCATGGTTTGGAGTGGTGAGCTTTACGGGAAAGGGAAGAAAGGGAAAACTGACTTCCTGTCACTGGCCAGGGTTTTTATTTTCATTTTGCATTGGGCCCCTCAAATTGACCAAGCCTCTAATAAATCTCCCAGTAACAATCTATTCAATGATTAATCCCGTAAGGTGATAGACGTTCTCTTCTCCCCAGACACTCACAAAGTTTGTTGTGTTTTGTTTTGAGTCTGTCTCACTGTTGCCCAGGCTCGAGTGCTGTAGCAGGATCACAAGCTCCTGGGCTCAAGCAATTCTCCCACCTCAGCCTCATGAGTAATTGGGAACACAGGTGTGTGCCACCATGCTTGGCTATTTTCAATTTTCAAATTTTTTTTTTTTTTTTGGTAGAGACAGAGTCACCTTAAGTTTCCTAGGCTGGTCTTAAACTCTTGGGTTCAAGCTATCCTACTGCCTTGGCTTCTCAAAGCCTTGGGATTACAGGTGTGAGCCGCCATGCTAGCCTCACATGATTTAATAACAAATTAAACAACAGCAACACAGAAGGTTAAAGATACTCCACAGCCATTGATTACATATATTTTTCTCTTAATTGGTTTCGAGGAATACTGTTATTGTATTAAATTGAAATATTATTGACAATATTTACAAGTGCCTGAAAAATTAGAAAGCATATTACAAATGTAATCTGAGAACTTCTATATTTCAAAGTCGTAAAGGGACATTTCAATATAATGTGGTAGACAGAACATGTGTCTAGATTCTAGACCTCCTTTTTACCTGTATTATGGAAATATTTTTGGCTCCAAATCTTATCTATTTTTATTTTTTATACATTTAAACCTAAAAACAAGCCTGAAAATGTACTTGCTCAATAAATCTTAGTCACCTTTTCTCTCTAAAATAATTATCTTCTATTTTTAGCTCAGAAAGCTTATTGAGCTGCTAATTAGCTCCTAAAATATATACCACAGGGCATTACTATAAATCAGAATGTTGAAACAAAAAGAATGAAATTAATCTTTACAATTAAGTTGAAAATTTAGACTTTACAGAAGGATCTGAGGAAAAAATAGACGAAGAGTTAGAGAAAAAAGGAGGAAAAAAACAGAAGAGGATATAATTGGCATGCTGTACATGTTGATGGTTAGGAAGAACTGCAGAAAGCCATTTTAGGGAAATGGGTGAACTCCGTTATATGGTAATGGCATATAGTACTCCTCATGAAAATACCCTTAACACTCAATACATTGACAAAGCTTTGAGCAGTAAGTTTGTACAGAATGGCTGATGTGTGCCATGGTGGAGCTCTGTGATAACCCATGAGCATGACATAGTTTATCAGCTGGATTAATT